GATTGGCTATCCACTTCTCGGAGATTTTCGTGAATGATCTGCAATTTGTGTAACCGATAACTGTCTCCCCTCGATAATAACGATAGTACGTATCACATGCAATTTATTTGTGATACGAGAACCTGTGCAACTTCGTACCTCCTATATATATGGCCAATCTAGTAAATCGATTATCTACTTTAACATGTCTCGTAATTGGAGTTCCTATTTTGACGAAGCACGACCCGAAGATTATTGTTTTCTGGATTTTTACAAGTATCGCTCACAACAAGCTGATTTTACCTTTTCGTTTCGAAAAGAGTCTAATAAACTAAAAAAGATCTCAAAAATCTAATAATAAATGGTCTAGATAAACAGAAGAAAGGTGCCAACCAGTTGAACGAAAATTTTAAGGTAAATTTTTAATCTTCATTTTCTGCATAACTAGTTAGCAGAGGAAGGCTTCCACAACTACGGTGGGCACCTGCTTGCTATCCACCTTACGGTCTGCTTGCCCGTTGTGGAAAAAGGAATCCCACACAACTATAGTAGACACCTGCTTGCTGTTCACTTTACGGTCTGCTTGCCCGTTGTGTCTGCTTCTAGCCATGCCTCTAATAATGCTTTATCACATGATTTGTTAACCCATATAAATTATAGGGTCACCGGGAACGTTTTAAAGACATCGATATGTTTTGGAAAAAAATTGAGATGCATGAAGAATTGCGCCTTTTTGGGAGTTTCACTTAACCAATTTTCTGATCTACCTAATAAAACTCGAGCTCTTTATTGACTGTGTATTTTATAACTGTAGGAAAATGCATCTAGATCCATAATGAACAATACAACAAAAGTTCTTGGAACTGCTATCGAAAACATCCATTATACTATCGGGAACATCAATGACACATTGGTACGAAAAATTAGGGAATTAGTGAAAGATAACCGGAATGGCAGTTGTTTACCTTATTATGTATTATTTTGTAGACAAACCCAAGAAAACGGACTTCATAAATGCATGACATAACGACCAAATTTACTCCAGAAAGCATCAAAAAAGTTAGCATATAAACTACAATTATGTTAAATTCGCAAAATTTTTCTCATTTTATCTACTTTACACAGGTCAAAACAACACAGACTGATGGGCGACTTGAGGCATCAAATGAATCGTCATCAAAGCCCCTCAAAATACTTTTAACAGTTGATTTGAGACAAAGAAGTGGATATTATTTGGATAAGACTTACTTCATTTCTAAAATAGAAAATCTTAATACCCAGGCCATTCTTTTTCTGCGTCCCTGTCGCTTCGGCAAAACATTATTTCTTTCTACTCTGTCTTCTTATTACGATATAAAGAACCAAGAAGACCAATTCAAACAATTATTTGGTGATCTGTTCATCAGTAAAAATCCCACGCCATTAGCATCTTCATTCCTAGTTCTGGATACTGTTGTTAGGCAAAACTATTTTTGGCAAATGGCAAAAGTCGAAACTAAACCTGGCAAAAGTCAAAACTGGCAAAACTCTGGCAAAACGGCGAAATTATAGCAAAACGGCGAAATTCTGGCAAAACCCTGGTAAAGCTAAAACCTCTGGAGAAAGTCAAATACAGCTAAGATCAAATCCTCTAAGACTTTAGAAAGACTGAGCCATGTTGGTAAATTAAAATATTTTGCGTATAGCTATTAAGCACAGCATGTGACATATTAAAAAAAACTACTAGACTTTGGGCTTTTGAACTTATAATAAATAAATTTGCCTTGAAAATTCAAAGCATGAGATCCTGTTTTCTTTTACTATGTATTAATATTATTCATGTAAAATAAATATATCTAAATATTTAAATAAATTTATTTTTATAGTGTTAAGATTTTTTCTTTTTACCACTTTGTTAAAATTTTAATTAAATATTATACATATGTAAATAATTTGTTAACATTATTATTATTTACAATTATTTCCCGATGCTTCATTCTAAATCTCAGAGGAAATAATTGTTGTATTATTGACTTATAATAGATCAAATATAGCAAACATCGTATATAGCATGATTATGCACATATACGTGACAAAATAACTTTGTGTTAGGTTAAAATTAAATATTAGGTTGGATAAAAGGGCTATGGGTCAAAATCCAGACAAGCGAAATCCCGACAGGTCATAATCCTGACAAAAAAATCCCAACAGCAAAAATCACGACAGCCAAAAACTGACAGTTAAAAATCCTGACAATTAAAAATTCTGGTTAAAATAATCTAACTCTAGCCTAATTCTTATCTACAGTGACCTAACCTTAAAGTTAATTAAATTGTAAGAGGCTACTTCGCTTTAAATATACCCATATTTGGAATTTTCTACTTGAAAATTCTGACTGTGATTTCTGATTGTTGGGATTTTGATTATCAGGATTT